CGTTCTTTCAATTCTACAATTCATTGTTGTCATGTTTCAGAAACTCTGTTTGTCTCACTTACTACATATAACGTGTTGAGAGTCTTATATAATAATACTGCTTCAATGTTTTCTTTTCTTATTGTCAATGTTTTATTTTCTATATGGTCACAATAAGAACATTGTCTTTTTCTTTAACTTAGTTTTATATATATCTTCAGTTTCCATAATCTTTACTAAAATTTTCTTACACACAAACTTTAATAACGAATTTGCTATTATTCTAGGAAATCAAAACCAAATAAACTCTGGTGCCAAGATTTAACAGAATCATTTTAAAACTATTTTGCTTCTTGCAGTCTTGAGTTTCTAGTTATGTCAATACAATATTTATTTCTGTCGATTTGAAATCTTATAAAATTTCTTTTTGTTGTGAAATCTTTTAATAATGCGTTTTAATTAAACATCGAGATTAATTTCTAGGTTTTTACAGATATTACGTGATATATATATTTTATATATTTCCTCCAGTATTCACTTAAAAAAATAATAACAATATTGAAGATTACTTTTACCATAGTAGTGACCATACGCAAGAAGTATTTAAGTAAAAAAGAAATATTGGGTCTCTGCCAGTTTTAAAAATACAATTCAATTGTGACCTAAACGAAAGCCTAAAATTCGGATTAAATAAGTTTTCTAAAAGTTTGCCAGAGATATTAAGCAAAGCAATCTTCTTGTCTATAGAAACACACAAACAATGGTCCAATTTAAACTTCACTTACATTGTACATATGTAGTTATCTTTCATGTTGGAAGATTAAAAACACAAAATAGAAAACTACAACAGAAGTTTAAAGCAATGAAAAAGGATTCGTGACCCTTAAATGTAAAATAATAATATTGTGATACTTAAATAGAATTTAGTTTAAAATATTCAGGAGTAATGACTTGATGAGCAGAAATAAAAATAAATCAAAAAGGTATGGATGCACACAAAAGGCCCACAAATGGGTAGAGGTCATGTATATTTTCTGATACGAAAGCTTAAAGGTTACACAGTTACCAGTAAAATTTTAAATTCGGATAAAATAAAAAAAGACTATCGAAGATAAGAGCATCCAAACACGGCCACAATTTACACTTAAACGTATCTTTATCGATGATTAATCAGTGATGTCTAAATATTCTTAGAAAGTACATATGCTTCGGAAAAACCACATTGGTACACACACACCCGGGCCAGGATCGAACCCGCGCCCTCGGCAACTAGAGGCGGGCCCTTTAACCACTGGGCCACCACTGACTAACTGACTGACTATGGATCAAAATATACTATTTAAATATTTAGATTCAATAAAATTATTCGCTATATATAAGAACTATAGTTGAAATTATTTTCGCATTTCTTACATGGAACTGCATATTTATCTGGTATCTGACTGTTCTTATCTCACTTAAATTAGACTATTTAAAAGGGTTATGTCATCTACATTATAAACCTTATTGAAATGAAATTATTTTGATAACATTTCACCTCGATATACATATAAAGTGTATGTTCATTTCATACAAGGAAGTAGTAGTATTGTCAAAATAATGATAGACAATAACTGTAACTGTGTGAATAAAAATTATTGGATTGCAGCCAATTTGCTACAATACAGTTGAATCAAAACTTAAACTTTGAATAACTTCATATTAAATAAATTCTTTAAAAGTCTGCTATTGAGTAAAGAAATCTTTAACTCCAAAGAAACTCACGAACAATCGTTTATTCAAACTTGACTCACATTGTATGTTTGAAAGGTAAAAATAAGTCAAATACACTACTTCTGGATGTATCTTATGCATGAAAAAAAATCTGGCTCCATAAAACAATGCTTGTATAAATATTCAATACCGAAATAAAACTATTGAATTATTAAAAAACAACAAAGAAAAAACTAAAAAATAATCATCACTTACATAAAGAGCAATTTTCAGTTAATACATATGAAAGCTGTACACCTTTTTCTTGATACTAATATCTTTTTCAATTTGAAATCGCAATGCAATATAGAGACGAATTCACAAAGTGAGGACAAGATACGTACACGAGGAAATATTCTGTATGAAATATGACACAAGTAATATAGTGCTTATTATAAGGTATATGTACTGACACTTATATTACTGTTTGATTGTATCTTATTTTACGTAAATTTAAAATATATTGTAATTATTATATTAAATGTACATAAAAAAACTGATTCTTAAAGTAAGATTAAGAATTTAAAATTAAGACCTTAACTATTTTACGTAAAAAATATTTCAGTCATATATCGCACTAAATTCATTACTATTTAATGTGTTCAAGCGAATAAAGTGTGAATCGTGATAGAAATAAACATTACACTTCCTTCATAGTGGTCGGTTAAAATATGTTTATATAAACAATAATAAAATCACAATTTGATGATTACAAGAATGTATTAAGCAAAAAAAAATATATAATTGAAATTTTCGATTTCTCCGAAACTGTTTAACGTGTTATGTTATTCCATAAAAAGTTGATACGTAACTTCTGGTTATCTTAAACTGTGATTCTACATTAAATAGAAGACTCAGCAACTTTTATCTTTTTCACTGTTGCCATACAGAAGCTGAACTTTTGTGTAAAAGTCATATATTTTTCCCCTTCTACTATAATACACAAAGGAAAATATAAATGTGATTAATTAATTTGCATTCTTACAATTTTTTAAATTAATTATGCAGTATTTTCATATATATTTTTGTTGTTTTATATTGGAAAATAATATTTTACAATTTATTTTTTAAAACCAATTACTATTACTATATTTATTTCCAAAAATATAAACCTATAATCTATGGCAAAGCCTTTAACTGTTACAGTTTAAATATTTTCTATACAAAATACAACAGGAACCACCAACATGAAACTTCAAGAGCTATTGTAATTTCCTCTCCGATTAAGGCAAAGTTAAATTAAATTAAGAAATTGAAGAAGTGATGTGGATGTGTTGTATATAAATAAAGCACTTGAATTTAGATTTAACTGGTTTTATTATAATTAAGAAAAAGGAATTACAAATCACAATTGACACGCGTTACAGAGCCGGAGAGAGAGAGAGAGAGAGGCGCCTACGTCAAGCGCTTTAGCAGTTCAAACAGTCGTTATTTAGTTATTATAAAACGTCAGGCTTTGTCACTACTTATGCGTTCATACCAACAGGATGTGTTTTATGTCCGAACATATTATAATTTTATTTTTTTTTTAATTTTTATACATATTCCGAAATCAATATGCCTTTTATGATCAGTTAAATTTATTAATTTAAAAAAGATAAAAATCCAAAATTTTTACCACTATACTCGTAAGTGTAACTAAGAAAATATTTATTATTAGTAATATAACTTTAAATTTTATAACTTATTAATGAAAGCTAAAACTAATAGAGATGACAATCGAAGGCCTCTTTGAACTGTAATATTTTTATTGTCAAATTCTTTTCGGATAATATCAGATTCAGATACTACATTTAGCGAGACTCATAGTAGCACTTTGCTCTTGGCATCAGAACTTGGCAGTAATTGGGCACATAAATTGACATAACATACTCTATCTTGTACATAATTTTACTACAGTAAGTTTTTGAAATTTCTCATTTGAAGCAGAAAATTTCATTCATTTAAAGAACATTGGTATTCAGAACGCGTAGTAATGAAACGCCACTCAATATTATGCTACTCATTATAAATATTCAGCGTAAAAATGCATTTTATTAAAATCGTCGGCATTAATTTTACGTACGATGTTTAATAAATTTGTATGAGTAGTTTTTAAATAAAGTAAACGAGATAAAATTAAAAAAAACAAATGTCCTTAAATCTTTCCGAGATTAATCTTTCTCGACCATTCAAAGGAATTAAAACACAATAATTTATCTCAAACTAATCAACTTAGACTTCAACCATAACAATGCATGAGAAACTAAATTTGTTTATTAATTAACTTTATGTATGTTGTATTTTTATAACTTAATATAATGTTAATAATTCATGGACTAAATCTGCAGTAAATAATATGAAAACTTATATTTACGTTTTTAGTTTTACTTTAAGCTTTTTTCGCTTCATCAAGTCGATGTTACCTTAAAATTTTAATCACATTCCGTTTTCACAGTCGTGTTAGTCATTAAAATTTTTGTAAGTTCTTTAAAACTATATTACAATGTCCTTCATTCTACTTATAATGATATTTCAGATCTAACAAGGAATCCTAGATATAAGGAAGGGTAGGTATGATTAGATATATTGAAATATAAAACAGACACAAGTATAAATATACGTGCGTATATACGTAAGTTTCTTATAATACCTTTTTTACCTTTTTTATCGTTACATAGTATCATGTATTAAAATTAATGTTTTCTTTTCACTTACCTTTATCTGTAAGCAATGGTTTATAGAAATAATCTTAAATAATTTCTGCTAAAGATGATAAAAACGAAGTGTCAGTAAAATCGTAATGTACTGTTAAGTTCAATTTTATACAAAGTAAAAAAATATTTTTGTTTCAATCCTTTTAAAATATAAGTAAAAATAAACACAAAGTTAGGTAATTCATAACATTTAATATAGTTTTTGGAATATTTTAAGATTAGTTGTGTTAGTAGGTAACTTCTTTTTAGTACGCCAAAAACTTTGTGGAATGTTATAAAGGGGACATAAAATTTTATATACATATTTTTTTAAAATAACAGGAAAGGATTAAAGGAAAATTAGAGAAGGAGTTATAAATTAAAATTAACAAGCATTTAATAAATTGTATTTTAGGAATGTTTATCATTCAAAAGAAAGGAAAATATTCTTATACAACTCTTATTGCGAGCACAAGAACAAAAAATATGAATGTTTACAAATTAAATTACACAAATCCCTTTTGTAATAGTAAACTAACAAAAATAAAAAAAAACATTCTATTTATTAATATTATTACGATATGCTACAATGTATCAGAACCCGTACGGAAAGAGCACTAGTCCTGACAGAGCCGTGATGAGTGAGAGTTGTCTGCGTTGTGTGTGAGGAGGAGGAGAAGCACAATGTGCTCGAGGGTGCTGACTGCAGGCAGCCACGTCCTGAGCTAACACCCACGACATACGACGCAGGAGATCACTCGCCGACGACGAACACACGCGGCCGGCGCGACTCACGCACGACATGAACGAGTCTCGGGCACTGAAGATACATTTTAAAGAACATACAAAATTTTAAAGAAACTCTTTTCTTTCTGGAGGTTTCAGGAAATTGCCTTAAGAGATGAGTTCAAAAAACACTTATGATATAGTTATTTCTTGTAAATATTCTTTCACTTATATTTTACTATAAAAACACATTGTAAGTGTCCAAGTGTGTTTTGATGGTTCAATTATATTTTCAACCGTAGTGTAATACATTACCAGCAGAGTTCGCTGTTCTTGTTGAAATATACTATATGATGTGACCTCTCGGAGATGGCTCTCGCAGCCAGCTGTAGTTCATCCACACATTGAGACCAGTCTGAAGACACCAGCGACCAACACGACGGCTCCTTCAGGAAGTCTGACACCACAATATAATAATACTAAGTCAGCATTATATGTTCACAGTATTAATATTCATTTATTTATATCATGGTTTATATAAATGTAAAATATAAGCCACTTGGGCTTTAAAATCAAACGTTAAGCCTTTGTACGTGGTAGAAGTGAAAACGAAAATTATAACGGCTTACTCCCTTTACAAACTACTTAAGGTCTTGGGCCTCTCCAGAACTAATAACAATTCATTGTTGGAACGTACGTCGAAGGCAGTCCTAATAGAATCTTTTCAAATTTGGAAACGGAGAGAGGAGTTTGGACAGTGGAAGTGAGCGTTTAATGTATGATAGGGAACCCTTAAACCTACACCTGGGTCGCAATTCCCAATCAACTACTGAAGCTCCTTTCTCTGCAACGCGTTGGACCCTTCGATCGCACAAAAAAAACAGTAGTTATCTTTTAAAAAACTCGACAAATTATCTTAAATTTCATGCTTCTTTTCTAGGAAGCCTTTTAGTCGATCCGGTAAAGTTTCGATTTTAAAGCATATATTTAGTTCTTATATCTTACCTCTCCGTAGAGCAGTATCGTTGGTACATAAATATCTCATGAGAGCCCGGGCTCCACCGATCTGTTGTTGAATGATCTTCTGTCCATCCGTCGGTAGACATCTCTTAATCCACGTGTCCATACATGACATACCCGTCTGATATGCACTGGATAAACAAAATTGACAAACCATATAATATATTAACAGCATCTAAAAGAAATAGTTACAGAAGATTGACCGTTAAAGTTTGCACAGTTCCTTTCTCAACTGCTTGTCATACTAGCACAGAATTATAATGGAAGCAATTTAAATTTAAAATTGAACATGAATATTTTGAAACTCTTCTAATCTCTAATATTATGGATTTTCGTCGGTTTCCAAATATTATTATTGGATTAATCACGAGAAAGAGAAGAGAATGAGAGATGTATATGATGTGGCCCCAATAATTGAACACTTTAATTCCTGCATCTCCTTTTTATCATCGTTAACCTTCATTGCTTTCGGACAAAGGGGTAAAATTTAAGGTCTCTCATTTGCACAATAAAGGAATCAAACAGTTTGTTTACGTTTGTGTTTTTGACCAATTATAATAATTTGAGTTTCTTCAGGAAAAGGGTGAAATATTTTGTTATTGATAAAGAATGTTCATCACCTACGTTTTCATTTTCACCTGACAAGGTCTAACGTCGTATAGCAAAATGAAGTAGTAGTTTGGTTGTTTACTATTTAATTAATTATGACTACTAAGTGTAATGAGCTAATTGTGTGTAGAAAGGTTTTTGGAGGAAGTTGTCCGGTTAATTCTAAACTCATTTATCAAATATTCTTTGTGTACCATTCTTTACATTTTTCGAAGTCAGTTATTTTAAAAACAATTTTAACTAATCTATTTACGTCTGTTATCATATTATTTCAATCTTTTCAATTCACAATTATATTTCAGTTATCTAAAAACTATAATCCGTAATGTATTTCAGAGGCAGAATTTAATGATTATTTCTAATAATATATAAGATACTTTAATTAATAGTTTTTATTTCACACACATGGTTTATCTAAAAAGCAGACCAATTGAAGTAGGATGTAGGATCAATATATGTAGAATGTTCACAACATAACATTATCTTAGTATTAGTCTTATCTTCAGGGTAAGGATATCTTTCTTATATAATATCTACTCACAGACAATGTTTGTCCAGTTCTTCCCTGGTCCGAGGCAGACCAACTGCTGTACGAGGTGTTCCGTCTACACACACCTTCAACTCCTGAGGGTCACAGCTGTCTTCACTTGTCTGAGCTCCACTGCCATCTAGATTACGCAAGCGAAATAAGATGTAATCTACACCTTAATAATAACTATTTCATTTTAATGCTTCTTATGAGTTTGTTGAAGGTATTTAAGTACATTACTATTTAATTTTATGAAACACTGAGCTTTTAAAGAAGGTACTGAATAAATCATAGTTTTGAAAAGTCTACTTAAGGCATAACTCAACATTTTTGCCTATACATAATAGATTATTACTAATAGCTCATAATTAGAAGGAAATATAAATCAATAAAAAAAATGAATTGAGAGTTAAAAATAAACAAAACACTAAGATAAATATTCATTTTAAATTGAAAAATCCTGATAAAATTAATTGTATCTTGCATTGGAGGTTATTATTGGGTGGGATATTTTTTATAATTATTTTGATATTTTTTAATCCATTTAGTAAATCTATATTATATCTACAAAAGTGTATGAAGGGGAACTTTACGAGCACTCTAATAAAAAATAAGACTCTGATAATAAACACTACGATATGTCGACGAAAATAATGAATAAAACTATCATTAACGCCGAGAAAGCAAAGACAGATTACAGAATTCAGGTAAAATGGATTGCTGTATAAGTGACCTAAAGAGTAATTTATTATGTGTTGAAAAATAGAGAAAAATTGTTTTGTGATAATTCAAGACGATAACAGAATCACACATTTTAATTTAAAAACACAGTTATTTCCAGTTTTTACGTAGCAATTTACTAAAAACATGAAAAGAAGACTCCAAAGAACCCTCATATCGTATGTTAGTATTTTGGCTACACTTATAAGCGCTACTATTATTCGTTTAAAATATACAAAATGAAAAGTATAAAGTTTTGAAACTAATATTTTGCGGATATACTACGCGACTTTATTTTTGATCAACAATAATAAATAAAATTTTTGATTCCTATATTGCACATAAATATTATCTTAGGAATATATTTTTTTCATAGAAAGATATATTAAAAACTTTTATTACTTAGTGTGTTTTTAGGAATTTCTTTTTTTGACTAATATGTCCTTGTAACAAAATTTTATGTACTCGTGATGATTAATTTAAAACAAATTAAAATTTTCTTTTCAATAAATTGAAAACATAAATATTTTAAGTGGTTGTCACTATATGAGTTCGATTTATTTCAATTTTTAAATTAATATGTTTAGAAACTTTTAATAAAGAGTTAATTCTATATTATTATAATAATTGCAAGTCGTTAAAACCCCTTCAATTGTTATAATTTTTACTTTCCAAACTGTATTTCTTAATAGTAGACGAAAAAAATTAAATTTATGAAAGGATGCAAAAATTTACTCAATTATTTTAAGCAAGAAAACCAAATTACAGTGTAAGTAATTACACATGCTGCACTTTGTGGCTTTTAATTAAATGGTCGTAGTGTATGTACAACTCTTAAAACTTATAAAAATATAAAATTAATTCAAATTACATAATCATTCTTTGTATACATTATAAGAAATTTATATAAAATTATTAAATATTGTATATTTTCCTATCTTCATAAAAGTAAGAAAAGTAAATATATCGATTATGTTCCGACGTCAAGATTTTAAACACTAAATAAAAAACGGTCACTTCTTTTGTAAAGATTTCTTCTTAATCAACTATTGGACTTTGATCATTAGTTTTACATTAAATATAGTTTGCTCTCAAATTGGTTGCTATTATACAATAAACCTTCTGTTAAGTTAAACCTCAGAATTTAAAAGCTCATACAAAGAAAAACACACGTGATTATCTATTTCAAATCAAATTAATCCTTTTATTCTTAACAATTCAAGCTATCAATACTGATGTATTATGAATGTTCTTTTATAATTCAATTAGATACTATTCTTTAAAAATGATCAATTAATTATTTATGAGATCAAATGATGACTGGAGCTAACATTGTTGTGAAAAGGAATGTAATTAATTTCATACTGTTCCTGTTTATCTAATATAAGTATTTAGATAAAATTTATTTCAAATTTCTTATTGTTATTGCTCTATTTTAAGTAATTAATTAACTAAATATCATTATTATGAAACAATAAATATTAACTTGCTGCTTTTTGTAATATTTATGTAAGCTTATTAACAGCATTGTGGTGTTTGTCCACTTTTGATTAAACTTAATTTAAACGGTATTAGTTACATTCAGTTTTTTTATATTTACTTTAGTTTTTTAACCGGATCAATCTTATTAATTAAATTAAAACACAAAAACTATGCATATTAATTTTACGAAAATATTTTAACGTATTTGAGACACATATAACATAAAACTTACAACTTGTAATCATTTATTCATTCATAACTCACCAGCAATCAATACCACAGTAACTAGAATATAAATCATGTTTCAATTCAACACTAAGTTATATCTCTTCACAATAATTATAAGTTATTTATAATAATACATCGTAAGTTTAAAAGTTCGTCATGTTTCTCGTTTCGTCGACACGTCGTTTCACGTTCAACACTCGCGGAGTACTGACTGTAACTGAAGAGACTGAACAAGTTGGAGGCTGAGATGAGATGTTCACTGCAACTATGAAGAAAATTATAGTGTTTACTCAATTAATTGACATTATTATTATATTTATTTCGATAAGGCTTAAATTATATCGTTATGCGTTTCAAAAGAAAATCTAATTGTAGCTCTCATTTTTTCTTATACCTTGGTGGTGAATGGTTTGATAACTCTTATACTAATGAATGAATAATTAAATTTGTTAATATCAATATTATTATAGTTGAGTTTGTAAACGTTAAATTTTTTTAATAATATACACTTACTATATTAATTCAAGACACGTCATTAAAAATAGGAAACTTCTTAGCATCAAATGTATCCACCGTGCGGTTTTCGGGACAATCGTTGCAGGGAGAGGAGCTTCAACAGTGCTTGAGACTTGCCACCTAGATGTAGGTTTAAAGATCCCCTATTTAACACGCGTCATACGTTCACCCCTACCGTCCATACTTCTCTCTCTCCACCTGTCCTCTAATAGTAAATATGAAGCCAGTATAAATTATTATCTTTACTTAAAAGTTGTTTTAAGATCTTGTTAATATTAAAGCAACATTTATATTCCTATTTTAAATCTTATCAGAACTGTGACTTTCACACAACTTTTCACTTAACAGTGTATAAGGAAATTTTTCAGTTTTTCGATCTTAAATACTCACTTGCAACATTATTAACGTTGATGTCTGAATGAAGCACTATAAATGCTCAGTATTTGAAGCAACGACAATAACTTGGAATAAGGGTTTACTATTGAGATGATTTTCAAATCTTTGGCTCCAATCCAAACGAAATATATAGAATGGGAATTTTTATCGAAAGTCAATATAGTGATGGTTCAGTTTTTGTAATAACATATTCATTGTGTGTTATAAGACATATTGTTCCCTTTGATGGATGTATTTATTCTACATTGCTATGTGTCGGACAATTTTTTTATTTTATTGATGCTATTGGAATACAATATAACTATATATTATATAATATAATATACATATATAGTTTTGTTGAGAAAGTTAACTACAAGTATGTGGTCATTGGCACTACAAAAAATCTTGTTTGAATAATTTTATGACACATAAGACCATTTTTTTTAGGAATTTCAAATTAATATTTAAACTTAAAACGATATAAATATTGAAAGAATTCTGTTCCACTGCACATTGTGAAATAATTTGAAGGGGAAAACCTTACCAAATCTCATAGACACTTTTTACAAAGATTAATTACTTAAGTATAAAAAGTATAATTTATTTGCTGTACAAACAAAAAATCTTTTACTAAATTAAGGCATACATATTTGTTTGTAATTTATTATATGTATTAATAATACATTTAACTCATATTCAATTCAAGAGTTTAGATATACACACAAAAAATAGGTTAAACCCAGATTAACAAATGGTAAAATATTTATCTTATTCTGATTGTGCGCATAGCAATATTCATTTTTCCTGAAAAGCGGTTTTAAAAAACTTGTTAAAAATATCATAGCATTTTATTATTAAAGCGTCCATTTCATTTGTACTCCGTATGTAGCAATATTTTAAATTTTATAGAGGCTTCACTTTTTTCATGTAATAGTGAGTTATAGTTCATTTAATAGTGAGTTATACATAGTTAAAGGCCGCCTCTCATGCATGAGGACACGGGTTCGATCCTGGCAAGTGCCAATGTGATTTTTCCGATTCATATGTATTTTCTGAGAGTATTTAGGCATCACTGATTAATGCCTTCCCAAAGAAGGTTGGTGTCATGCAGGCGGCCGGTTTTAAAAACAATTAGCCAAAACTATTCACAACTTGTAAGGCAGAACCTGACTAAAAGCTGGGAAAATGACAGGAAGAAGAAGAAGTGAGTTATAGTGTATGAGTTTCGAATGGAAGTACCTATGATATTTTTATTAATATTTAATAATTTGATTTTCCTGTCCTTTTTTTATAGTTGACATACTTTTATATAACCTTAGAACATACTCCAGTTTCAATACTTCATGTTACAAATTCAAAATTCTTGATAGAATTCGTTTTGAATTCTTTTAAGAAAAAAAATTTTTTTTCTTAACCATTCATTAATTTAAGAAAAATATAAAGAAAACCTAGAAAAAACATTTTATATTTATAAGTTGAATTTGCAATAATCGAAGAGAATTAAGAATAATTTTGCAATTTCTTTTTTAGTGAGGACTTAAAAATCACAACTAAGGAAAGAAATATATTTCATATGTTAATGATGTAATCAATGATCTTTTTTGTAACATTAATTTATGAAAATCTATTAAGTTTTCTCATAACCTTTAATGACATGACGTAGCAAAAGGGTGACTTATGTGCCTAATGGATTTTTTTAGCTTTTTTGTTTATGAAATTATGTACATTCCTTGTTATAGCTTGAATGAAAAATATAAAGAATTTATCAACATTTATAAACTTCTTTACTTTTGTCCGCACTTTAGTGTCACAAGAATCTTTAATTGTTAGAAGACTACTACAATTAATAACTAAATATCCTACAATATTAAAAATAAAATATATACATAGTAAACCTCTTAATAAATAAAAAACTGAACAATAAATATGAACTCCTAGTCAAGATAGTATCGTTTTAAATGTAAAATAGACTGAAATTAATATCATCTGGTATGGAATTTCACAACCACGCTGCATTTAAAACCCACGTTTCTTAATTATTGACTGTAGTTAAGGTTTTATTAAAGTGGATTGAGTTATAAACATACATCGAGAGATTAAACTAATACGACAGGTACTTAGGGCCAGTGGCGGCTGTACCTTAAGTGCACTCGTGCGCTGAACCACCAATTCAAAAATTTAAAAATTACAAAATAATACTTCATCTTTATTTTTAAATTACCATTTTAATATTTATTTTCTAAACATACAAAAACGTATAAAAATTAAATTTCTAATTATAGTCAAAAAGTTTGAGCGCTTTAATACATTAATATCTCGTGCGCTTCGGCGAGTGCACGAGGACTCCTAATACATCTTGTATGAGATACGCATTAATACGCCTGACGCGTGAAACAAAAGATCGTTCATAGAAATGTACCGAGTAATGAGTCGGTTCTCGAGCGCCGCACGAGCGGCCGGAGATTACCGAGAGCACCCGATATATGACAAATTGGAATTGAAAAGAATCAAAACTTTACTCCTATATACCATGCACTTGCAAAATGCATTTTCTGTGCTTAGTATTGAAAAAAATAATTATACAAACAATATCCGATTTTAATAAAAATTTGATTGATTATTTCGCTTCAGAAAAATGTTGTCGCATTGATTTAATGTATAATTAATAAACATAGTTTATGTCAATTGGTTTTTTGTTACATTTTCTAATTTAATATTTTAGTAAAGTGCACCACCAGTTGGATAACCCACCAGCCGCCACTGCTTAGGGCTATACGTAGTGTGTGGAGAGGAAAAGTTATTCTGTCAGCAGTTAGCGACGGCGCAGGGTAATGCCTTACTTTAATAACTAATGAGGGGGTTAAGGAAAACCAATCTATGTTATTAGGCTCCTTAAAAAAAGCTCCATATTGATATCTTTCAGACATAGGGAGAATTATATTTAAATAGTATTATAAAAGTCCAGTATAGATATCAGACAAGTGCAGCTAGAATGTATGTAGATACAAGTTTGAGGTCTTCCATAACAAAAACAATCATGTTATTAAAGTAGTCGAGGATAGAAAGGGTCCATACAACACCTCAGAGTGCAATTTAGAGAAAAGAAATAAGATTACACTAAAAAATATTCTTTGTTTCCATGCTTTTTGAGTAAGAGTATGTTAAATCATGGTTTTAATAAGGCAATTTTCTATGACAATTATTACTTATACAAAAAGCATTTATTAAATTTAATTTAAAATTAAAATATAAATCATAGTACTTAACAAAACATAAAATAAAATTTACTTACTTTTAATTACTCGTTTATTTTTGACGTTCTTTTATTCAGATGTTATTTTTATATTGCCTTTTATTTATTATTATAGTAAATTAAAAGCAAATCAAATTTGAATCAGCTTCAAAATTGTGAACTTCATATTACTCTTCTTTATCGTCGTTCATTACTGAAGAACTTCAAGTTTATATGTTATAAATAGTTTTTAACAATATCATAGTATAAGCCACGTTTTAATAAAGCGGCAACTCCTACATTATTCCTTACAAAGCAATATCTTAACATCCTCGTACGTCTTCAAAGTTAATATTCAGTACACGAGTCACCTGCTTATATTAAATCCCGTGTAACTCAGCGTCTTGTACTTTTCAGCAATTTATTTTATACTTTTTATATTGCTTGTGAGTATAGGGTACAAAGATAAAAGATATTACGTTTTTTATTAAATATAAATGTTAAAAACACAAAATTAGTTCAAAATTATCAATAATATGATCAGAAATTTTACAATTTCGGACGACAGGTAATGCATATTCATTATAATAAAAGTTAAAACTAATATTTTTCGGATATATTACTCGTACTTTATTTTTGTAAAAAACTATATACTACCGACGTTTCGGCTACTTTTCATCAACCGTAATCATGGGCAGACTATATGTGAGTGTCTATGTTTACGTCATTCTCTGATGTAGTATTATAAGGTATCTTTGCGATACCAATAATATGCCGCTGGTTTCTAAACTCAATTGAAAGGCATATCCAGTATCATTTCTTAATCAATGTGACGAGATGGAGACTCAATTCCTACTCAGTCTTTTCATGAACATTTATTTATTGAAACATATTTCGTATAAATGTAACATAATAATATAAACTGTCAGTTTTGAAGATTTTCGTCA